TGAATTTTAAAGCTATCTTAATAATTTAATATTCAAAAGAAAGCTTACGATCTAAGCTTTCTTTTGAATACTAAATCATTAAGATGGCTTTAAAATTTATTAAGATATGAGCTATGAAAGTTAAGGAATTAATTTTTTTTCAAATGTTGATTTGCTTGATTTCTATTGACGGCTGCCCATATTAACACCCACCAAAGATTAAGACCCAGGCTAGCTTTTCTAAATACTGAATTCCTAATAAATTACATTAATGTGACCTACTCCCCCATATTTATAATAATCAAAAAAGAGGAAAAATATATTTACACACTTTGGTATTGATAGATATGGCAACTAGATATAAATGTACAGTAGCATTAACATCAAAGACTAGCTCAGAGATTTGGAACATGATTAAAAAAATATACAATGATCCTAAAAATCCTCTCAAGTAGCCAGCATTGTTGATGGTTAATAGTGCTAGTGAGTTTAAAGGATCATTTGTGAAAGGAATAGAGCAATATAATGTTCCTATAAGAGTTGTCGATCTTTATAACTTTAAGAGCTTAGCATTAGTTAAAAAATTTGAACAAGATTTGGTAAGACTTATATACAAAATTCAATATGCCATAAAGGAAAAACTCAAAGAAGGTGAATGCTCGAAATTATAGAACAAGTTACTTCAGAAAATTATTGACTATATGAATAATAATAAAACTTGATTAATAGGCATGTTATCATCATATGCAATATTATTGGGAGAAGTAATACCTAAAGTATCTACCAAATCTAAAAGACCTATTGGAAAAGATGAACCACGATTACAGAAGGAGCTTATAGTAAGATATCTATTAAAACCCGATAAGCTAGAAGGGGGGCATATGTATAGAAAAACTGACCTGTGGTGGTCATTGCATATCTATAAAATCAAAAAAGTTATTGTTGGTAAAATCCACCACAGCCAGTCTTATACTATTTTGAGAATGAGCCAATTGATTCAACTAAACATTTAATAGGTCATAATCCCAAAAGACTTTTTAAGAGAGAGGAGCTTCAAGTAATCGAGAATCCTAAAAAGATTGAGTACCTACCTGATGAGTTTATACAAAAATATCATCTCTCTGGATCGATATATTTTATTTGTGTTTCTAATAATAAATTTAACAGGGCACAATGATATGCTGAAAGATGTGGTAGAAGTATCTTAGCTAAAACTGGGCAAATAAATAATCAGAATGTATTCCTCTGGACTTGTGAAAATGGACTGCATCAGTTTGAGTACCCGTTTCTATTGATTGCAATGAAATTTGAGTGGTGTCTACTTTGTTTTCACAATAAGAATGAGCGATGCTATAGATACATCTTTGAGGATTTATTAGATAAGAAGTTCTTATCATGTTCGAATAAATTTTTAGATGAACTCAGACTTGATGGGTATAACGAGGAATTGCACCTGGCATGGGAGCATCAAGAAGTACAACACTATTATTAGAATGCAATATTCTACAAGCGAGGTCAAATTGATTTGGATAAGCAAAAAGCACATGACGAAAAAAAGTGGAAGATATGCAAGAAGCAAGGTATAGATCTGATTGAAATACCATTCAACTCAGATTTATATGTATTTATAAAAAGTGAATTGCAAGAGAGAGGTTATTTATCGCATAAAGAATAAATATATAAGTATTAGATTAATTAGGATGGAAGAAGAAAAAATGCCCATATTTGTATACAATATCGATGAGACATCTAACAAATCCTCAGAACGAATGAAAGATAATAAGTATTCACCAGATGCCCTATTCAGATTACTGGTATGTGGAGGCTCCCATAGCGGAAAAACTAATATGGTTATAAATCTTATGCTTGGCAACAAACTACAACGTATGTTCAAGGGGAAAAAGGATTAGCGGTATATTATCTTGTATTAATAGACAAGCATTTTGAGCCTAAATGGCAACTTGTACAAAATAGCTATCAGATCTTTGCAAATAGCCCGAAACCATATCAAGAAAATGTTATATTCAAAAGGTTATCTTCAGATAAAATTCCAGATATAACTAAATTCACACCAAAACGAAGTACAGTTGTTGTGTTTGAGGATTTATGTGCTGAGCCAAAGAAAGTACAAGAACGAATTATTCTGTACTTCATTAGTGGCCGGCATCAAAATATCTTACCCATATATGAGCCAAAAATATGCACAAACTCCTAAAATTATCCATGAAAATCTGAGCCATCTTGCATTATTTAAAAATGGGGGTCCCGAGACAACATTTATAGAATTGTGCGACAATATATAGATAATCCAAAAAAAGCATCCAAAATTATTAATAAATATTTGCGAGATCAAGATTTCATGATCTTTGACTTTACTAAAGCAGTTGATAATTCTCTTGCAATTAGATTGGGTTGGGACACACCATTGAAATTAGATAAATAGAATAAGGCTTGACAATTAATAATTATTTTTTCTGCTATAATTTTGTCATATTAATATAAACACATCCTACTCGCCACTTTTTATATTATTGAGAAGATGCACGTCTCTAGCCGGTATTGAAATTGAGGTGTGTATGAAAAAAATAAACTCGCCATATTTTTGAAAAAATGCATTCTATGTATTATCTACAATAGAAGATTTTTGTGTTTTGTAAAATAGGCTCATATGCAAAACTTTAAATATATATTATACTGTTAATTCCAAAAGACATTTCTGAAATCTATCCTGTAATTGGTTTTTCTTTCTACCTATCCAATCATACGGAATATAGTATTCTTCATATTTATTATTAATAAAATAGCTGACCATATTAGAGTTACATCTCCTATACATTGCAATTTTCTCAGCATTCCACAGATTAAACTGATCTCGAGTTTGAGAATTTTTCACTTTACGAGAAGTTAGACCTAGAAATTTCTCATTATCTGGAATATTATCATTTGGTAAACTCAATCAGGCAAGTCATGCATTTGATAGCTCCCTTTTTTTGAATTGTCTCCAAACACTTTGTATAATCCTTGCTGAACCATTTTTAGTTTTTGCTTTGCTACACTCATTATTCCAGTGATATTGCATCAAATCTACTGGTTCAACTTTTTCAATGTATTTATGGATAGCAGAAGCATATACTTTCTTCAGTTTCACATCATTGACTTGAATCAATTGCCAGCAACTGAAACATATAGCCATATGACTTTTATGAATTCTCAGTCTATAATAATCAGAATTAACGAATTTACCTTGACCAAATAATAAGAATAGAGCGTATCGGTGATAAAAGCTAAATTTTCCCTCATTTATTAAATTCTGTAATGGAATCCTTACTCATAATAACCATTGAAATAGTGTCTCACTATGTTTTATAGTGGATAAATTATCGAACAATCTTTCATTATCGAATACTTGGTTAAGTTTATTTCTATAAGATCCAGTGTAATTTAAAATATATGATTGTACATATTTCATATCAAAACCTGGACAAATATTAAAGGATTTAGATAATGCTCTATTTTTCTTATCAAGAATAGTTGCAATATTGAAACCAGACATAGTTAGTAATTATAATAATTTAGCGATTTATAAACCTATTAGATTTGGTTCTTTATTTATTCTTAAATTGCAATTCATTTTTTGTGCATTTAAAATAACTTATATTAAAGGTAATCTGAATGAGGCATCTGGTGAATACTTATTACTTTTCATTTGTTTTGAGGATTTGTTAGATGTCTTGTTGATATTGTATACAAATATGGGCATTTTTCTTCTTCTATTCTGATTAATCTAAGTAATACTTATATATTTATTCTTTATGCAATAAATAACCTCTCTCTTGTAATTCACTTTTTATAAATGCATATAAATCTGAGTCGAATGGTATTTCAATCAGATCTATACCTTGCTTCTTGTATATCAACCGCTTTTTTTCGTCACATGCCTTTTGCTTATTCAAATCAATTTGACCTTGCTTGTAGAACATTGCATTCTGATGATATTGTTGTACTCCTTGATGCTCCCATGTCAGATGCAATTCCTCGTTATACCCATCAAGTCTGAGTCTACCTAAAAATTTATCTAAACATGGTGGGAACTTCTTATCTAATAAATCCTCAAAGATGTATCTACAGCATTGCTCATTCTTATTGTAAAAACAAAGTAGACACCACTTAAATTTCATTGCAATCAATGGAAACAGGTACTCAAACTGATGCAGTTCATTTTCACAAGTCCAAAGTAATACATTCTGATTATTTATTTGCCCAGTTTTAGCTAAGATACTTTCACCATATCTTCTAGCATATCATTGCGCCCTGTCAAATTCATTATTGGAAACACAAATGAAATGTATCGATCCAGAGGGGTGATATTTTTGTATAAACTCATCAGGTAGGTACTCAACTTTTTCAGGATTCTTAATTTCTTAGAGCTCCTCTCTCTTAAAAGGTCTTTTGGGATTACAACCCATTAAATGTTTAGTTGAATCAATTGGCTCATCTTCAAGATAGTATAAGACTGGCTGTGGTAGATTTTTATCAACAATAACTTTTTTGTTTTTATAGATATACAATAACCACTACAGGTCAATTTTTCTATGCATATGCTCTCCTTATAGCTTACCGGGTTTTAATAGATATCTTACTATAAGCCCCTTTTGTAATCGTGGTTCATCCTTTCCAATAGGTCTTTTAGGTTTAGTAGATACTTTAGGTATTACTTTTCCTAATGACATTGCATATGATGGTGACATGCCTATTAATTGAGTTTTATTATTATTCATATAGTTGATAATTTTCTAAAGTATCTTGTTCTATAATTTCAAGCTTTTACCTTCTTTGAGTTTTCCCTCTATGGCATATTGAATTTTGTATATAAGTCTCGCCAAATCTTGTTTGAATTTTTTAA